GGGGGGGGAGAACCCCCGAACCGGGACCCCAAAGTGCCCCCAGACCCCCCCAGAGTGCCCCAGGTCAGACCCCGAAGTGCCCCCCAGAACACCCCCAGACTGCCCCCAGTGCTCCCAGTACCCCCCCAAGCCCCCTCCCAGTGCTCCCAGGAATTCCCAGTGCCCTCCCAGTATCGCCCAGGCCCCTTCCAGCTCCTCCCAGTGCCCCCAGAACCCCCTCCCAGTGACTCCCAAACCCCATCCCAGTGACTCCCAAACCCCCTCCCAGTGCTCCCAGACCCCCCTTCCAGTGCTTCCAGTAACCCCTCCCAGTGACTCCCAAACCCCCTCCCAGTGCTCCCAGTGCCCCCAAACCCCCTCCCAGTGACTCCCAGTGCCCCACAAAGCCCCTCCCAGTGACTCCCAAACCCCATCCCAGTGCTCCCAGTGCTGCCAGTGCTCCCAGAACCCCCTCCCAGTGCTTCCAGTAACCCCTCCCGTGACTCTCAAACCCTCTCCCAGTGCTCCCAGTGCCCCCAAACCCTCTCCCAGTGCTCCCAGTGCCCCCAAACCCCCTCCCAGTGCTCCCAGTGCCCCTCAAACGCTCTCCCAGCGCTACCAGTGACTATTCCCGGTGCTCCCTGTAACCCCTTCCAACGCTCCCAGTAACCCGTCCCAGCGCTCCCAGTCCCTCGCAGTGCTCCCAGTGACCCCTCGCAGTGCCCCCAGTCCCTCCCAGTGCTCCCAGTCACTCCCAGTGCCCCCCCCCTCACATTCCCCTCCGGACGCTCCGCGACCCCCTACGGCCCTGCCCTCACCCAACATGGCGGCGCCCACGTCGCCCTCATCCGCCCAAATCAAAGATGGCGGCGGAAGTGCTGCCCTCACCCAACATGGCGCCGCCCTCACCGGCCCGAATCAAATTTGGCGGCACCGGAAGCCACGCCCCCTACCCCAGCCTGGCCCGGAAAGGGGGCGGGGCCTCAAGATGGCGGAGAGCGGGAAGGGCCGGGGGGGGAACCCGGGAACCGGGAAAGGACTGAGCCCTGAACAGGTGAGGGGAGTGAGGGGGGAAATGGGGTGCGAGAGGGGAAATGGGGTGTGAGAGGGGAAATGGGGGAGTGAGAGGGGAAAGGACTGAGCCCTGAACAGGTGAGGGGAGTGAGGGGAATGGGGTGTGAGAGGGGAAAGGGCTGAGCCCTGAACAGGTGAGGAGAGTGAGGGGAAATGGGGTGTGAGAGGGGAAAATAGAGTGTGAGGGGAAAGGGCTGAGCCCTGAACAGGGGAAATGGGGTGTGAGAGGGGAAATGGGGAGTGAGGGGAAATGGGGTCTGAAGGGAAAATGGGGTGTCAGAGGGGAATGGGGTGTGAGAGGGGAAATGGGGTGTGAGGGGTCTCCCTGTGCCCCCAGTGGGGGTGTCCCCTATCCCAGGGGATCCCATCCCCAATCCCGGGGGTCTCCCATCCCAGCTGGTGTCTCCTATCCCAGGGGATCCCATCCCATCCCAGGTGGTGTCCCCTATCCCAGTGTTCCCATCCCCTATCCCAGTGTTCCCATTCCAGGTGGTGTCTCATATCTCAGGGGATCCCATCCCAATCCCAGTATTCCCAGTGTTCCCATTCCAGGTGGTGTCTCTATCCCAGTATTCCCAGTGTTCCCAGTATTCCCAGTGTTCCCATTCCAGGTGGTGTCCCTATCCCAGTATTCCCAGTGTTCCCAGTATTCCCAGTGTTCCCATTCCAGGTGGTGTCCCGGTTTAACCGGCTCCGGCAGGACCAGCGGGGTTTGGCCTCCAAAGCGGCCGAGCTGGAGCTGGAGCTCAACGAGCACAGGTGGGTCCTTTAGGGGGGGTCCCAAAGGGGTTTTGGGGGGTCCCTGCGCCCCCCCCCCGACCCCCCAAAATTCCCAAATTCCCGCAGCCTGGTGATCGAGACCCTGCGGGAGGTGGATCCCACCCGGAAGTGCTTCCGCATGGTCGGGGGGGTCCTGGTGGAGAGGACGGTCAAGGAGGTGCTGCCCGCCCTGGAGAGCAACAAGGAGCAGGTGAGGGGGGGGGACACCCCAAAAACCCTTTTGGGAACCCCCAAAAACTCCCTGGAA